CTGAGCTCTCTCTGAAGGAAGGAGATGACTTTCTATTAATCAAGGAAAAACAGAGAAGAGGCATTTATTGATTAACAGAACCAGGTTTACCTGATTCCCATTTCTGTTCATTAAGCAGAGATCGACACTCATGAGTAATGAATATCTTGCCTGCCAGAACTGTAACTATCCCTGAATATATACATACTGTGCTTAGGGTGGAACCATGAACGGGGAGAGCTACTGGGTATTACTGCTGCAACTGACAAAAAAAATAAATATGAGTATGGGATTGCTCCTTTTGCTCATTCAAGGTTAGCTCCCCAATTAATGTGAGTTAACATATGCGGCCAGGTCAGGAAGAAGGGGAGAAATTTGATTGAGATTTTTTGTTTGTTTGAGATAATTTGCATTTCTTCCATGGAACTGTGTCTTGAAATATACAAGTCCCTGGAGGCATACAGAGTCTGCTGTGTTAAATGAAAATCAAACATATTTCACATCTTGGAATAGAAGTCTTTTGGATTTCAACCATTTTAAGACACAGATTGCATTTTTCTGTATATCTAACACAGCATGTCACTCATACTCAATAAACAGCAAATAACAAGGCAAGATCTAGAAAACCCAGAGGAGAAACAACCAGGAATTATTGGTCTTCAGGCTCCCCAAAACTAGGAAGAGCGATTCTAATCTGATATTTGTTTGCTTCCCTGAATTTCAGACATAAGGTCTCTTTAATTTATTTTCTTAAAAAACAAAAAAACAAAACAACCAAAAAAAAAAAAAAAAAACCCTCTTGAAATGTTCATTTTACAGTTAAGCAAATACACTGCAGGACATACATTAACCCCAATCCAAATTAGCTTGTTTTTCTGCATGTTAAGTACCAGTTCAGATTTATTTGTTATGGACCAAATTCAACGAGGTACTTAAGCACACGCATATTTTTTATCATGCAAGCAGCCCAATTAGACTATTCACATGCTTAAATATATGTACACAGCTAGATAATATGCTAAATCCAGACCCACTATTTTTTCTCAAGTAAGCGTTCACAGAGACAAAGTTGTTTTATTCCAGCCATGAAGAGTTCACTGCAAATACATGATACTGAAAGCTGTGTTGATAACTTGAAACTGGTCACACAGAGCTGCTTCTGTTCTCAGTGAGCCTGATTTTATAGTCTGGATTAAATTTAAAGAGCCCACTGAGACGCTGGATTTCTCAAGGTGAAATGACAGTGGAAAGGGCAGCAGCAGCTGAAGATAGATCAAGGAGAGGAGGAAGTTAAGGAGCCCCAGAAACATTCTCTTCCTGGTTTTGGTCAAAAAGGCATAATTGTTGGAAAACTTACACAACCAAAAGGCATGCGGGCCTATTCTCTCATTTTTGTCCTCATTAAGAACATATGTGTAAGACTGTGTGCGTGTGGCTGTGTGGTGTAAGGAATTCCCTGTGCAATGCTCTGTGCGTCCATCAAAAGGGTGTCTTACTCCTTCCCTAGGATACTTTAATTACCTCTTTGGCAAAAATGAAGCAGGATCTTTATGGGAAATCTGCCTCCCAAAACATCCAACAGTGATACAGATCTTAAAGCATCTTTGGCTAGATCTTAAAGATTCCACATAAGTGCAAGGATGTACTTAAATGCTCTACTGAATCAGAGTCCCTATCCTTCCCCAGCAATGCATGAAGGAAGAATTGACTGAAGGCTAATGAAACACTTAGGATTACATATAATGTAACTAAGTTAGGAAGTGATTGGAGTGTGCACAGAGAGCAAGGAACTATCACAGCAGAGGCATCCTACAACAGCACAAGATGTATCCTTTGCAGGCACAATTTAGCATCACTCCATAATATCTTCCTAACCAATCTTCTAGGGCAACAAGGCATCTTATTTTTTCAGTACTGGTCAAAGTGCAAATAGGCTGCTATGTTACAGAAGGCAGGTATCTGTACAACTTTAGTCTCATTTTATGGCTCGATTTGAGCATAATTTCCCTCCTTTTTTTCTTAAATGACCATTGTGATCTTCCCTGTTGGAGACAGCATTGGTCAAATTCTACACGTTTGTGCAACCACAGCAACAGATTTGATCTTCCCTTTTTGCTACCACCTCATGTTCTCAAAGAGTTCCAATTTTTATGTGAAAAATCACTCTTGAAAATTTATTTGATGCCCTCTCTGGACATACTGGCTTATCATCCTGTGCAAAAATTACTCTGAGAATTTCACAAACAGTATTTTGAAGCAGCAGAAATGTGTCTTCGGTGCCTTCATAACTAAAATGGAAAAGTGAAAAAGGAAACAGGCAATGCTAGAATATTAGAAGTGCCAATGCTCTTTCTAGCTACAAAAGCTCTGTCACAGCCAACAAGAAAATATCACTTCAGCATGTGGCATAAACACTTTATGCCTTCTTATGCACATTCTGAACATCCAGAAATCTCTTTAATCATGACCATTAATTTAAAGGGTGATTTTCATTCACTAATGTAAACTTTCAAACACGAAATTGTATAGCAATTGTATTCCTTGGGTTTGAGAAACTAATTGGCAGACTAGCTAGCTTTCAATAGAAAATGTGGCGTTTGATCTTCTGGCCCCCAGTTCTGCTGAACACCTGGAGAGGTAAACATTTCAGACTCAATGACTTACCAAGTACCTGTTTTCAGTAAACCATTAACTCCTTGAAAAAGGTTTTTCACCTTCTAACAATAATTTCCCTGGGCATATAGTTTCAATAGTTTCCCAGATCACTCATTTCATGTGAATCCCTGAGAAGCCTGGATTTTGACAAAAGATCTTCAATGAGTTTTATAGCTCCTATTGTGTTTACAAGCTTCATGAGAAGGAGGAAGCAGTGGTATTTGCAGCATAGTACTGCTCCGGATCTTTACAGGATATTGGATTAACTATATGCAACATACAATATACCTGGAAAGCACACCCTTTTTTCCTGCTCTTAAGTTGTCTGCTGACACTCTTGAAAGTCATCGTAAACAATACTCAGTGCAAACAAATCCAGTAGATTGGTGCAGAACTGGTCATTGGCACCATTCCTTTATCCCAGAGATATCCCTTCAGCATTGGGTTTTTAGTCTCTTAAAGTGAAGTGTGTATGCAGGTAGCTGACTATGTAAACCATGTGCTCTACAACAGATTCACCTAATTGCCATTTCTTCCTAATCATACCTAGTTTCATGCTGTGCTTAAGTTCATTCTCAGATTGCTCAGCATTGCTTCCCGTCTAAAAAAACCCAAACATATAAAGGCACAGCAGATACAGGTCAGAAATAGAAGAGGCATCTTTCTATATCCAGAAGACTTCTTCAGCAGGAACTTTACACCTCACCAGGTGTGCTTATGGAAAATATCCTCAATTGTATAAAGGATCATAACCCAAGATCCAGACCTACTAGAAATACTTGCAAAAGCATCCCCAAACCCCAATCTGTGAATATTTATATGCTTGCATTTCAGTTGAAGTGTCTGTATGTTCTTTAAAATATTCTACATGTAGCATCTATACGGAGTCACACAGAGGCAGAGTCCTGCTTTCATCTAAAGGCTCAGGACATAAAACCCCAAGGAAAGCGTGCCAAACTCAAAAGTCCACAGGAGGATCGCTAGAGGAATATTGTTAAAATGAGGATGACACAAAGAACAAAATAAAGTTCTCTTGATGAGACTCTTCTTTAAGTGACCAGCATGTCCTGATCTCTGGACATGGAACACCGGCAGATTGGGAAAGGCTACCAGCTCAGGGAGGAGCTAGGACTGCTGCTGCTGGCAGCTGAGGGTAGCCCCAGCACAGATGTTTGTAACAGTGAAAAATGTCTTTGAATCACAGCTCTGAAGTTCATTTTCAAATAGGTTGGTTAGTTGTGTGGTTTTGTTTGGTTTTGTTTTGTTTTTTTTTTAACGGTTATTTTTCCTATTCCAAGTTTCAAGACGACAAAGCTGATTGAAACTTCTTATTCAAAACTTTCTGCCCCAAACAGACGTCTGCTTAAGAGTCTTTGCTGCTCTGAGGTTTATTTCTCTTCCCTCCCCCCCCCCCCCCCCCCCCCGGGGAATTTTCCATCACCAAAATCCAAAGCAGGAACAATAGGAAAAACACTTGACTGCCGGCTTTCCACATTTCAGTTCAAATAAGCACGAAAGGCATTCTTACTTCTTCCAGAAACAACAGAAAAAAAATCAGGGAAAACAACTAAAAAACCCCTGACTATGCCTATGCCACAGCCGGGGCTCTCACTGTTGTGTTCCTTTGGGACCGGAGCTCTCGTTCAGCTCCCGCCCGGGATGCAGGCTCCTTGCCCAGCCCCAGCGGGTACGGGCGGCCCCACGGCCCGCCCTGAGCTCCCACCGGCAGCGACAACAGCACCCGCTGCCCTCACGCTCCTCCTCGGCCGGTCCCGGGGACCCCGCTGAGGGGATATTTTTAGGCAAGGCTGTAGCGCCTCTTCTTTAAGAGGCTGCTGCTGCCGCTGCCCGCCTCGCTGCTGCCAGTGCCGCTGCCTGCCTGCCCCGCTGGCAGGGGCGGACGCGCCCTCGCCCGGGCCGGCAGCGGGGAGCAGCGGCGGCGCTGGTGGTGGGGGGCATGGGGAGGCTGCGGCTTTAAGAGCTCCCACAATGCCGTGCTGGCGCCCCAGTTCCGTTACATGTTTCTCCCGGTGAAGGGGAGCGACGGAGAGGCAGGAAGGAGGTGGGGGCAGCCGCTCCGGGCCGAGGACACCCACTCGCAGTCGGGCGAGCAGGCGGCGGTGGCTCGGCGGGGCCGGGGGAGGAGCAGCAGCCGCAGCCGCCGCAGCAGCGGGGCGCCGCGGAGGGCAGGGCTGAGCCGAGCCGAGCCGAGCCGAGCCGAGCCCCCGGGCGCTGCGTCGCGGGCCGTGTGCGCACCGCCCCCCGCGGGGCGCGAGGCGGAGCCGGCGGCCGTTGGGGCCGTTGGCGCTGGCCGTGGAGCCGCGGGCGGCGGAGCGGTAAGTGCGCGGCCAAGTCCGCTGCGGGCTCGTCCCGCCGGAACCCGACCTCCTCTCCCTTTCCCTTTCCCCCCTCTTCGGCTGCCGCTACCCCGCGCCGTCCCTCCGTCTCCCGCAGCCCACCCGGCTGCTGCTGTCCCGCTCCTCCCTGGCGTCTTTCGGCTCGTCCCTGCTGTGCGGTTTGTGACCCTTCGCTGCCGCCTCTCCCCGCTGCCCCCGTCTCCCCTCTCCAACTTCCCCATCCTTGTTGCCCGTTCCCCACCTCCCCTCGGATTTACCATTTTAAGGATTTTGGGGGGCATTTTCACCTCTCCCGTTCCCCTTACGCGTCTCCCCTGCCCGATCGCACTCGTTCCTGTCCTTTCGCCTGTTCCTTCACTACTTCCCCGACTTCCTCCGGCTTTTCCTCTGTCTTGGCATTTTGTCTTTCTCCTTCGCTCATCGTGTGGAAAAGTAAGGGAAATTCCTGCGTGTCCTTGAGGAGGGGAGTTCAGAGGCGACTTTTCTGACACTGGGAAATCTTTGTAGTAGTTTCATTTTTTTCCTCCTCTCTCTTACTGCCCCCGAAAGGAAAATTAAACCCATTTTATTTATTTTTCCTTCCCCCTCCCCCCTTACCCTTTCGAAGTGGACTCTTTCGGTCTCTCTTCGCTCCCTCTCCCCCCCCCCCCCGATTAATCTCTTTTATTCGTTCCCCAACCCTCCCTCTCTTTTTCCTCCCGTAGTCAGGAAAAAGATTAAAAGAAAATCTGTTTTGCCAGCAGACAGTAAGAGATTTCGGGGGGGGGAGTGGGGAGGGGGGCTGGATGGGATAAGAGAGTATTGATGAGAAAAGCTTAAGCAAGTACAGTAAATACAGTATGATGGGACAATACAGTGGCATGAACTTTAAAGGGTAAGAAAATGGATTCTGCTCCGTGGTTTATGCAGCACTAAACTGTTGTGGGGAAGGGCTGATCCAGGGTCCGGTTTGGGGGTGTAGCAGTCCAGTGTGTTCCAGCCTGTTTTCTCTTCAGCAAAGCGGTGTTTTAAAATGCCAACAGAATGGTGTGCTAAATCCCAGTTCATTATTGCTCATGGATTTCACCAGCGTGGAAGATCAGGAGAGAGGGAAGGTTGTAAATTTCAGGGTTCCCTTTAGAATGACACCTGTCACGCTTTCCATCCCACAACTGCAGATGTATCAGAGGCTGACACATTAACTGAATCGCCGGAAACTGTTTACATCCGTGTCAAAAAGTGCTGTCGTGCGGTTTATGAAAGTCCGTTTTGGACCTCGCAAGCTTCTGCCTTGGGTTTAGTCAGCATCACGCGTTAAAATTAAGTGTGTGCTGGGCTGTGGAGAGCAAGTAAATCAATTGCCTAATGATTTCTGCAAAGACACCTGTTTAAGGGTTTTCTAGCTCCGGGTTAATTGTGTTTGGTAGTGGTGTGATTGTGTTAAGTGTTGTAGAAGAGCTGTGCCTTTTTCCATAAAGAATATGCAGTTCATGAATAAAATGTCAGCTCTTCAGGTCAGAAGGAACCAGTGTGGGTCTAGGTTGTGTTACATTACCTCTTTAGAGAGATAGCATTCCAGAAGACCACAAGTTTATGTGGCTAAGCAGAAAATTAAGTAAGCCCTACTTCTTTCCCTGCCCCCCCATTCTTTCTTTAAAGATAAAATACCATTTCAGATTGACTTCTGTTTGATGGTATCTTAATTGGAAAGTAGGCTTGATACTGAACTAGAAGCACTTCTCAGTATCTTACAGCAAAAACTTATCTGACATGTGATGAGCTGCTGAGGGAACTGAAATGACTGCTTGGCATTCTAATGGTCAGTTGTATGCCGTTTAGGACAACTGATAGAGTTAGCAGTGGTTTGTTTCTTACTTAAGCAATCTCCCTGGCCTTCTCCTACCCCACTCCCAGAAGCCCAACAGGATTTGGTCAGGTGTTTGTTGTTGTTGTTTTGTTTGTTTGTTTGTTTGTTTTAAATCTTTCCTGGAAATTAAAAACTTTGGGATAGGGGGAAATAAAAGGAGACGAATAAGTCAAGATTATCAACAAGTCATTTAAAATTGCCTGGAACTATTTCTAGAAACACCATCAGTAATTCCAAAGAGCCAAATGAAGGTGATTAGCATCACTTTTTCAAATCCTTTTGAGGAAAGCCCTGCAAATGAGCATGTTAGAAATAAGGAGGTTTGCTGCTGAAAGTGTGGAGTTGAGCCCTGAGGATGGTGGGTTCTGTTCCTGTGTCTGCCATCGCATGGCAGTATGACCTCTGCCTAAGCTGTTTTATGCCTGCACCTCACAGGATATGGAGATTTTCATGGATCTCTGTTAAGTGCTTTTACATGCAATTTTAAGAATGATTGTGTGTAATCATATTGCTCCTTGTTTAGTTGTGGGTTTGAATGCTGGTTGGGTAGCAGTTCTGCTTGTGCAAATATTCATTCTTTGAAAGTTGTGTAGTAGAATTCTTGATCACCACCATTTATTTTGATAGGAGCGTAAGATTTTTGCATTGCTGTAATGGTTTAGACACTAGAGTTATTTTTATCCCCTGTATACCTCTGACAAAGTCGGTGCATGCTTCTTCCATGGTACCTTAACAGTCTGCCTCAAGCTGAATTTGAAGGGCACTGTGGCCTCCTCAGAAAGAAACTGTTAAATTGAATTGCAGGGTGGAAAACTGTCCTCTGGCTGAGGACCCCCCATATCGTGATGCATGCAGTACCTGCTATTTTGTTTTTTTTTGTGAGGTCTGTAATTATGAGATTGGCTTAGTACATGGGGGTTTTGTTTGCTTTCTAATTTAAGATTTTTGTCTGGGTTTTTAAGTCTTTAGAATTTCTCTCTTGAAATAAAATGTAAATGACGTGTGGTTTTTTAGGGCTTTTTTGAAAGCTCAGGTTTTCCTGTAATTTTTTTCATGCAGGGGTTGGGATTTTACAGTGTAATGGGACTTTTAAAATCTCAGTGCCTGCCTTCCTGTAACATCTTAGACACGTAAGCTTTGTAAATCCAAGGCTGTACCCTGTTGCAGGTAGTTCTCTCTCCTCACTGTAAATAAGAGACTTGATTCTGTGGAAACTTGCTATTAGGCATCAGTGTCAGTTTTGGGTTATAACTTGCTGTCCTCTTTGCTTCTGAATCTGGACAGTTAGTCTAGTTTCAAATTCAGTTTCATAAATACTTTCTGTCCTTCCTAACCCACTTCAAAGTGTGTGGTGATCTTACAGCTTTGACAAGAATAGTTTTCCTGCCTGATGAGAGGATGTTTGTTTTCTCCTGTTACTGTTCTGAGGGCTCTGTCGTCTTTGTACTGATAAACTGTGGGGAGGGCAAGATTGGTCAGTGTGTGCCAGGCAGTGCTGTGCTGCTTCTCTCTCCAGTTTACCTGCGAAGTTGAGGTCAGGGAGTTTGTGCTGCTTGGGAAAGGAAGGTGGGTTTGAGCTGTAGCTCACATGGGCTTGTCGTATCTGCCATGGGGACTGTAGACTGGACCCCTCTCTGTAAGCATCTAATCATCTGTGAGATAACAAATACAGAGAGCGTTGAATGTACCTGAGAGGACCTGAGGAGATAGGCAATGTAAGCTTTCAGATGGGAGGCACTTGAGAAATCCGTTTAATTCACCTTTTTACTTTGGAGTTACTACTTAAAGAGGGGAGGAATCTGTTTACTTTCTTGTTGTGCTTGGGAAAAGATCTTACCCACAACAAAAGACATTGCAATGCTTTCTATAGTCCAGGATTATCGAACAAAAGTGTCTTGCTGTGCAGTATTGTTGCTGCACTCAGTGTTGTATGATAACACATGTTACTCAGCTGTTGTTGATTCCTCAGTGGCACAGACTTCAAAGGAATGTGCTGAAAGAGAGCCGAGGCCAGAGAAAAAATGAGTTTTGTTCCAGTGGCCTGTACCATCCATCTGTTTAAATACTTTGCTGAACTATTCCAGAGCGTTCAGGCATCCAGTTAGGGCTGACAAGCAATTACAGCTGGGAATAGAGCCTACTGCAAAGAGACCACCTAGTGAAGGCTTAAAGGCTACCTCCCCTCCATGGGTCAGAGCCCCCCTGCTGTCCCAGCCAGCAAGAAGAGATAAGGCTTGTCATTTAGGCTGTCTTTCAACATGACATTGTCTAATTCCTAATGCTATTGAGGATTTATTTATTTTTACTCTTTACGCTATCTTTAGCACAAGAAGGGAAGAACAGTAATGAGGACAGACAGTCATCTCTGTAGTCTCCTCTTTGTATGTAACAATCTAGGTCTGTAATTTAAATGAGTAAATATTTATAGAAAAATAAGTGATTTATTTATTATTTATTTTTATTTTTTCTATGACGCATGGGATAGTTAACAGATCACTAGAGTGTCTGCCAAGGTAGCAATATACATTACCGAATTAGTTTTAGTTCCAAAACATTACTAATAAAGTTAAAATCAGAGCCAGTTATAGTGTGCTGTTTCAGATTGAGTTTGGGGAAACACTCCACAACTTAATCCACAGTAATAAATGAAAAATCCCTTTCGTACTCATGCATTATGTTACACTAGGATTTTGACAATTCCAAGTATTACAATGTACGTTTTTACTTAAATTCTGATACTGGAATCCACTGTGCAAGACAGGTCTCAACTTGTGATTGCCAACTGAATCTTCCAGTCACAGCCTATGTGCGCTCTGTGGCCCCACATACTGGAATTTGATGGGGCAGGGGTGGGGAATATCAATAGGGAGACTACAAGTAAACTGTTGATAACCTGTACAGATCCTTAAAGGTTTTCTGTATGGGACTGACATTCATCTTGAGGATTGGGATGAGTACTGTAGATAAGAGTGATATGTGTTTCAGTTAAGAGGGCTTAACCATTCTTTATGAATGGAAAAATGATCATGCAAATACACTAAGAGGATATTTGAGCTTTGAAGAATTGTGAGGCAGTCCAGGATTTGGTTTTCACTTGCAAACAAGCAGCACAACTCTAAAGGTAAGCTTGCATGTTGTACTCTGCTGTAGTATTACTCCTGCCTTTGTACTGCAGTGTGACATTTATGCCTTTGAAAGGATGGCTCTTTCTCCCTGTGTTGGCAGTTGTGATGCCTTTTTGGTATTTTGAGACGTCAAGTTTTAATGCCTTACTACCTCTTTGAGTGGAAAGGGGAGGGAAACTTCTAGAAAAATGTAATGTAACTGACCTCCATCCAGCTTCTGCCCTTGCTCCAGGGTTGACATTGTAGTTTGAATTTGTTTGCTTGCTTTGAAAACTGTACTAGGTGTAACCTTGAGTCTTGCTTCCCTTGTTGCAGCAGTAGCTAATATGTTTCCAGCATGAACCTCGCTGTGTCTCTAGATCATCCAGTTTTCAAACTGTGAGGCTGTGTTCGCTCTTTCTTTCTGTTGTATGCTTCCCTTAAATCCTAAGATCTATAACTTCATTTTATTTCAACTGAAC